ACTTCTGCCATTTATCCATATCTTCTTCACACACTTGCCTTTGAAACTCGCTGGTTTGTAACCACCGCTGCCTTTTCTTCTCGGCGCGCCTTTCCCTGAGCGTTTCCGCCTCTTCGGAAGTGGAGGCCTGTCTTATCATTTCTGACAAGACTGCTATATCTGTGTTTGATTCTTTCAAGCTCCGTGCCTGCCATTCGTGGAAGTCCTTGTTCCAACCCTTATCTACTTGAGAATCCCACAACATCTCTATCATGGAGGCAACCTGTAAAGCGCGGCCATCGTCTGAGTGCTGACCCATGACTTGAATGCCAACAGTTGAAGGCACGCTCTGTTTGGAAAATTTGAATGGCAATTTGCATGGTATGCTGATGGAGGGTATACCAGCAAGACTAGCAGGCACTGTGAATACATCATTCATATAAGCATCAACCGGTGTTTGGCGCTCAGTAATGTCTTGAACAGTTGGTGAAAGAGTGGGAGCTGTTGGACAGAGTATAATATCCACTTCTGCAGGGCCCAGTTTATCTTCGAGTACAATGCCTTCGTCCATATCACTAAGATCAAATTGTTCTTCTGGACGTAGGTAATTGGGCATGGAGAAGACACGGTCAAAATCTCTCTGAACCAACCGTCGAACCTTTTGTGCCTGAATAAAGTAATTGTCAATAGCATCAGAGCTCAATGAATATGACCCAAGAAGAATTCGCCTTTTCACTTCGTCTCCAAAGCCAGCACCCCTGGTCTCGGAATAAAGGACATCTCCGGCCCCATCAATCGATTGATCACGAGTTCCGTACCTCACTCCATCATATTTTGAAAGATTAGAAGATGCTTCGGCGGCGGCAAGTACGTAATATGCTGAAAGAGCATGTTTTGTGTTAGGAAGTGATATGGGAACGATTGTACATCCTTCACGCTGAAGAAGTTTCAGCATTCGTTGCCACGCCCATGAAACTTCCAAGTCCAATTCTGAGATATTGTATTCGATTGGAACACCAATCTTCAGCTCTCGAAGATAAAATGGATCATGCGTAGCAGAGATCTTTGTCTTTCCGAAAAAATTCATCCGTTGTTCTTTGATACGGGTTCGACTGGAGGGCTTGAGACTCGTAGGATCCCGAGGATCATGACTGCTCAATCTCGAAAAGATTTCATTTATTCTACTTGCACTACGTGCTATTAAGCCGACAGTATCGAGCGAATTCGCGTAAGGTACCACACCAAAGCGAGATACAATACCATATGAAGGTTTGAACCCTGCAGTACCAGTGTATGCAGCTGGCAACCTAACTGACCCGCCGGTATCTGTGCCGAGTGCCATATTAGTTGTGCTTGTTGCCACAGCCATTGCGCTTCCGCCAGAGCTTCCTCCAACCGATCTCGACCGGAAAGGCTTGTGGTGACGGACAGCACCGAAATATGAGTTTAATGAATGCGAACCCATTCCAAATTCATCCATATTCGTCTTCCCCGCGACATTTCCAGTGCCAACTTTGACATCTTCTACGACGGAGGCATCAAAAGGACTCTGATATGTTTCGAGAATACGAGATGCGCATGTCGTTGTTTCTGAAATGGTTGCTATGTTGTCTTTTACAGCAACAGCTCGCGATACCTTAGGGAGGAATTTTTTGGGGCCATTCTCTTGTACTGTTAGCGTTTATCAATACAATCCAAGAAACACTTCCAATACCTTGTTTGTGGAGGGGCAATTTCGACTTGTCATCAGCCGGGGGAGTTAATCTTGGTTCTGATATGAAGGCATTCGTATCTTGGTGTGGATGAACTCTTGCTTCCTTAGCCTGCAAATGACATCTAAAAAGTTCGGAATTAAAAGCCTTCCGCCATCTGACAGTACGTGCCATTACATGTAATATAGCGAGTCATATATCCGGGGAGTATGAATACACATATAGCTTCAATTTGTATTTCGATCAGAATTAACGGCTTGAGACTTTTGGAAGCTCTTATCGGATAAAAAGTCAATAGTTTCCCCGGTCTCCGACCTTCCGACCTCATGGACCCCTTGCCCTACTTAATACCTAGTACGAGTAGCTCTCAAGGTTCTTGAAGGAAGGAAGAGAAGCTCCCCGCCACATGATTAAACAAGACAAGACAATCACTCTCTGCCTGAGACCCATACAAAGGTAGGTAGGTTGGTTTGGTCTCACTATATTGACTATATTGGATATTAGTTTAGCTTATCAGACTATATTATTATCTATCTCTATCTCTATCTCCATATTTATATCCCTATCTATTTCTCTAAGCTGTCCATCATTCCTCTCAATTTATCTCTCTTCTCATAAGAACTGGGTACATCTCGTTCATTATCTATCTGAGAGTCCTCTTACCCAACTGTCACTTTAAGTGTTTATAGTTTGGCACGAACTCACTTCACACACCCCAATGAGCAGCAGTCGCTCATCATTTAGCATTCACTCCAACATTCAGACTCCAAAATCTTGAATAAAAGTGCTCACTGCCTTTGACTTACTTTAGCCCCCCATATGCCACTGCTCATAATATCAAGGACATCATGAAGATAGCAAAACATCTATTGACCTTAACCGGTCTCCTCACATCTCTAGCAGCAGGTGCCCAACCTTCTGCGCCAGCTGCCATTGCGGCACCTATGAGACCATTACAATGGGGGCAACTCAATTTCCTCCAAACCACAGATACTCATGGGTGGCATGCAGGTCATCTACAAGAGTAGGTTAAATTATAAGTCAGTGGAAATGAACGAAGACTAACTAATATCTCAGGGCCCAGTACTCTGCGGACTGGGGTGATTACATATCATTCGCAGAGCAGATGAGGAAGCAAGCGGATGATAAAGGAGTAGATCTTTTACTTGTCGATACAGGAGATAGAATCGAGGGAAATGGATTATACGATGCGTCAGATCCCAAAGGGCAATATACGTATGACATTTTCAGGGAACAACATATCGACATCATCTGTACTGGAAACCATGAGTTATACAAGGCAGATGCCGCCGCTCGAGAATACGATCAAACTGTGCCAAATTCTAATGGCAATTATCTTGCTTCAAATCTCGACTATATAAATCCAAAGACCGGTGAACAAATTCCCATGGCAAAACGATATCGCAAGTTTACAACAAAGAATCAGGGGATCAAAGTGGTCGCGTTTGGGTTTCTCTTCGATTTCAATAGAAACGCCAACAATACCGTCGTGCAAGAAGTCGAAAAAACTATCAAGGAAGAATGGTTTCAACAAGCAATTCGAGAAGATGCTGATTTGTTTGTGGTTATTGGACATGTAACTCTGGATGGGCCGGAGTACAAGGCCATTTACAAGGCTTTGAGAGATCAAAATTGGGATACTCCCATTCAGTTCTTTGGTGGCCATAGCCATATTCGAAGCTATGCCAAATACGATTCTAAGGCGTACGGAATACAGAGCGGTAGATATATGGAGACTGTTGGCTGGATGTCCATTGAAGGTATCAAGAAGAACGAAAAGGAAAAGATGTCCCAAGAGGAACTCACATCTAGTGCACAAGCCACTGAGGTTGTTGAAAGTACAAGCATGTCCTTCCAAAGAAGATATATTGACAATAACCTTTTTGGCTATCATTTTCACACTGGTTTAAACGATACAACATTTCCCACGGAGCATGGCAAGAATGTCTCGAGTTCTATCGCCAAAGCTCGAAAGGCCCTAAATCTCGACCACAATTTCGGTTGCGCCCCAAAGGATCTCTGGATGAGCAGAGCAAAATATCCTAGTAAAGACAGTCTTTTCTCGTGGCTTGGTGACGAAGTAATGCCTGATGTTGTTACCCGTCCCGATCGAAAAGATGTTCCAACAATAGCTATCACCAACACAGGCGCCATGAGATTTGATATTTTCAAAGGTGCCTTTACAAGAGATACAACCTTCATCATCTCTCCATTTGTTAGCAAGTTTCTGTATATCAAAGACGTGCCAATCGCTGCAGCCGAACAAGTCCTCCCACTTCTTAACAGCGGCGGCAACATCTTCTCATCTTCGAATTTAGATATCAATAATCTCGCACCACCTGAACATCTCTCTTACAAAACGGATATCCTCGCTCCCTCGATACCCATCTCCGATCTCCCACTGCTGTCTAACGCTCAATCTCCTCTCTTCTCGTCCTCTTCAACCCACAAACCCGAACTCATTCCCGGCTATACTACCAAGGACGACAGCGGCTCCGATGGCGATGACACAATTCATTCTCCTATCACTTTCCATCGTGTACCTAATTGTATCGAATCCCGCATTAATATCCCTTCCACCAGCTCAAATCCAGAGACTGTAGATTTGGTCTTCATAGACTTCATAAAACCATGGGTCCTGGTTGCATTGCGCTTTTCCGGGGCGGATTATACGGACGAAGATGTCAATAGTTATAAAAATGAAACTTTGACGGAGTTGATGGCCGGGTGGATTAAGGAGAATTGGAGCCAGGATTGTTAAACTGCGTGCCTCTCTTTTGAAAGTTTATGAGGAGTTAAATTGCATAGCATAGGATTATTGATTTCGGGTCGGATGCATGGTGGATGGCGTTCTTATTACAAATCTCTGTATTACAATGGTATTTGAATGAAAGTGAGATGGAGTCTCTAAAGTGGAATAATGATATCAAGTTGTACATAGGTGAAGAGCTTGTGAAATATTCAACTTCGGTCTAACAATGAGAGGCTCTTGAATTTTGGATCATTTTACTGCGTTGAACTCACCTGATTGATTGAATCATGATGAGGGATTCTTGGCCATTCTGGCATTGATTCATTCAAGATTAGATCTAAATAATGGTACGGCATAGCTGACGAACGAAGAATGCAGCTGAGTGACATTAAGAGAGTCCGTAAACTGCCATGGTTTACGAAAAAATCATGCAAACCCTCGAATTGTGACTCTATTCACAACTGAATGATTTATATATACTTCTAACTATAGAGATCATTTGTACAAATCTATATCCTTCAATCCAATCTCACATCTCAATCCTTCAATCTCCCCATTCCTACTCCATCAAATAAGGGTAACAAAAACGTGTCTAATCTCTTCTCGGTAACCATTAAATCATTAAATTCTTTCAGTGCATTTAAGTCACCTTCTTTCCAGGTCTTTTCTCCGTTTTTGATGGCCCATGGGTTTGCGGCGCTGGAATCGGCGACGACTGTGGTTGGAGTTAGTGGGTGAGCAAGTGGGACAGGGAAGGGGAACTGAGAGCGAAACCAGATGTTAGGCAGGTTAGAATCAATGAAAATAGTGCTCACGTGCGCGACGCAGAATATTATCTGCGAGGATTAGACCGCCGGGTTTGAGGAGACGGGTTTGCGTAGAAGATGGGGAGGAAAGAGAGAGGATGAGATCGAGATAAGCGGGATATGAAGTTTTGTCGGCGTCGATAAAAACCAGATCGTAAGGTTCTTGTAGGTTGGTGATCAAGCTTTTAATTCTGTGATAGTTTTAGAGAAACGTCTATATACGTGTCGAGGGGCGATTGGAAGAAAAAAAAAAGAACCGGACATACGATTCACGAGCATCACCAACCAAAACCTCAACATTACTGAGGTTGTTTTTGGAGAACGTCTCGCGGGCAATTTCCGCGTATTCGGGGGAAAATTCAAGGCTTGTTACGTGACCTTCGGGACCGACGGCCTCAGACCACTAGATTGAGTTGTAACATGGGGTTCAAATCATGGCAGGATAGAGGGAAAGAAGGGCTTCAAGAAATGAGAAGACTTACTCCCATAGTAGAAAATCCAATGTAGGTTCCGATCTCTAGAACTAATTTTGCAAAGTCAATATGTGAATACTTCCATAAACGCGGTAAATATAGCTTGGACTAGCATGAAGTGAAAGATTCCCCCAAATGTATTGAGCTCCCGCTTGGTAACACGAAATCGAATGCTAGCGGTTAAATACATCTTAAAATCAAGGGCTAGTATATATCTTATTCTCACACAGTCCCACGAAGACACAACAGCCATACTCGATCTTTCAACAATATGCAGAGTAACGTACTTCTTTTGGCACCCATAGCCCTGGCCATAAAAATCTGAAACTGTGCTTGGAAAGGCGAGATCATAAAATTGGCCTTGGGTTGAGTCGATCCCCAAGCATGATGGTCTAATACATGTTTAGGAAGCTTGGTTGAATGTTCAAGAGAATATTGAGTAACCGCTTGAGAAACTTCGGGGTTTGGATAGAGAGCAGTGTCGTTTTCCTTCATCTTTTTGTATTCTTTGGGTGTGAAGATGTCAGTTGAGCAGTGGTTTTCTCTTGACTTGATGTTGGCTTGCGTTCAAAATATTTAGAGATGTAACACGAGAGAGAAAGATCGATGCTGTAACCTTATAACGTGGTTTATCATCGAGTGGGCCATATCATCGAGTGGGCCATCATTTTTACATACAAAATTCGTCTGTGCGTAACCGTGCACTTTCTTTATTTATTGATAAAATTTTCTAAAAATTAAAACTATAAATTTTAATTATATAAATAATATGAAAATCTAATTATTTATTGAAAATTCAAATTATTATAATATTAATTATAGAAATATTTCTTTTGTAACGAAAATCGTGACAAATTTCATTTTTTTTCAAATATAAAAGAAATTTTTATATCAAAACTAGATTTATAAAGAGCTAAATTTTCATTATTATTTTATATTTATTTTTTTCTAAAAAATAATGATTGATTATTAAAATAAAAATATTAAAAAAGCATTAATTTTGGTGTATTTTGGAGTGGCCCACTCGATGATATGGGCCACTCGATGATAAACCACGTTATATAAAGATCTGATAAGATTACGTATATGCGGGGTTTGGGACACGTGATAATCTTCCTTGGCTTACTCGAGGCTTAGTGGCCAGAGAGCTCCAGCTTGGATTGATTATCTAGCCAGTTCTCTGATGAAGTTAGCTGGGCTGGATTTCCCCAGAAAGGAGAAAGCATGCTTGGTTAGATCTAAGGAGGAAGCAAGTTCCGGCATAGTACAAAGCACTTATAACAACCAGAATCAAGTCTTGAGATAAGTAGACGTAGACTTGTTCAACATTAGCACATGGTAATCCGAGCTCAAGCGGTGCATTGAGTATCTTGACTTGATATCATAACGCCAGGGTAGTTCGCCAATGGTAAGAAAGGGGTGAATGCAAAGGGGGAGGGTCCTCTTGTTGAATTAGCTTCGTGTTGACTCTTTTCGACAATCCAATACAACCCTTTCTTCACCAAGTCAACAAAGTCAACCAAATTGAAACTAACCTTCTTATACCTACCTATGTACCAAATAAAACGCTCGATTGCTGAATTTTGCGGAGTCGGCGGTGCCAGCAGGAGAATATTAATCTATCGAATGCGGCGTCAAATCTCATTGGATCGATAGTTCTAACCTACAAACACTCACTTGCTTGTGCATTGGCCAACAAATGCAATCGCTAGCAACAATGCCTCACCTCACGGCCACCACCAGTGCACCAGTGGGCCACCTCCTTCTCATTCCCAACCCAACTTAATCCAACCATACTTGAAAGTCTTCGACAACATCAGAACATAAACATATTCTTTCGTTCTCAAAGATTCACATAATTATCTTCTTTCTCCAAAAAACCCCTTACACTATTATACTTTCCCTTTAATCGGATCTACGACAATGACTACGAGGTACGTATCCATTCTATCACATGTAACTCTTCATTCATACTCACCGTTCAGTTAGATTTCGAGTTGAGTGTACGTGTCCATAGCATATCTTCGACCAACCCAACGATTCTAATTCTATTCAGATGCACTTAAAACCCATCGACGAGATCAATTCATAGGTACCAACTTTCAATTTGTTTCTACTCTTTCCACTCGGCATACTGCTGTGTAATTGAACAGCACCCGATAGTATCGCGCGTGATCTTGGAAGTCACAATTTCCACTTTGGGCAAGCGCTCTTAAAATATTCTTACATTGGTTACTAACTCTCAGTTAAAGAATGGATCAAAGGTTTATTAGCGGTACCGTTTGTTCTACATTCACAGCCAACCGGTGTATTTGAATCTAGAAATGGAACCATTGGTGAAATGGCTGAGATTGCCCACCGCCGTTATGCGGAAATCATGCAAGATGTTGAAGATATGATTGATGATCACAGTGAGTATAATTCTTCGTAACGTCACCCGAGATACTAAAGTGGTCAAGTCGCCCATCAAAAAGTTGGCTTAGGAGGTCAATCCAAGTTGAAACTCCTGGTTCCCAGTATTGGTACATTTTTCACTCGACTACCACTGGCGGACGCTTTTAGATATCAGGATAGAAAACGCTTCATTTCCTCGAGACGATTTGTTCCACCTTCTTTCAACGATATCAGACTTATTTTAAACACTGCGCAGCTCATGGGTGTCACCTCTGCGGGATCGGTGGATTTAGCAACTTTTGATGGTGATGTTACATTGTAAGTCATGCTCGTCGTGCTAGGTTCTCGGCTTTCTAACTAAAGCATTGAAGATATGACGACGGGAAAAGTCTTGAACCCACCAACCCTGTTATTGAGCGAATAATTAGTGAGTCGTACTACCCCACGTTGGATGATGAAATGCTTATAGCTGTAGATCTTATGAGCCACAATACCAAGATTGGAATTGTAACTGCAGCTGGATATACTGAGGCTGAAAAGTACTACGGAAGACTTCATGGACTGCTGGAAGCAATCAAAGCTTCCACCATTCTTACACCAGAGCAAAAGCAGAATCTTATCGTAATGGGTAAATTAACTTTTTAACACTCTCATTCTCCTTTATTTCTAACGCTCATTCAGGCGGCGAATCCAACTTCCTCTTCACCTATGACGCTAGCTCCCCATACCTTTTGACCCATCACAACCGTCGCTCATGGATTCTACCCAGTATGTCCACTTGGACTCAACCGAGTATAACTGCTCTTCTTGACCTTGCGGAGTTCTCCCTTCGCGAGTGTGTTACCAATCTTGATTTGCCTGCTACTATTCTTCGAAAAGAACGAGCTGTGGGTATTGTTCCTCGAGAACCGGGCTATAAATTTGCACGGGAGTCTCTCGAAGAAACTGTATTAGTTGTACAAAAGAAGCTCGAGATGTCGGAAGTCGGTCGCTCTTTACCTTTTTGTGCTTTCAATGGGGGAAATGACGTTTTTGTGGATATTGGCGATAAGAGCTGGGGAGTGTTGGTCTGTCAGAAATTCTTCGGTGGAAATGTCGAGGACGAAAGTCAATGGATCAAAAAGGACAAGACTTTACATGTTGGAGACCAATTTTTGAGTGCCGGAAGCAATGATTTCAAGGCGAGAGTTGTTGGTACTACGGCTTGGATTGCGAGTCCCAGGGAGACGGTGGAATTGCTGGACGAACTAGGAGGACTAATTCAGAAGAATTAGACCTGCCGATCGGGGAATTTGATTGGATAATATGAGACTTATGAAGTTTTGTTTGCGTGAGCGGTAGCTTTTTTTTCATGAGAGCCGGACTCTGAGTAGTAGCTAGTTCGAATTTTCTGGATATCAATAGTTGTTATCACATTCGGTGTCTCTGCGTACCCGAAATCGGCATCAATACGTGACTTTGATGTCTGAGACGATAGTTGAGGAGTTATCGATTATCAATCTGGATGTTCTCTGAACACCTAGTCGGTGATGAAGCTAGTTGAAACGGCGGAAGGCTAATGGCCTACGATCAAGGAAGAATAACGATTTTAGAGGAATCTTGTGATGAGCACATTATCGACTATCGGTGTCAAGAGCTTTAGGTTCTCTACTAACGAGCAACACCGTATAAGCTACAGCACGATCGCTCACCACTACCAATTTAGTCAAACTTTATTGTTCGGATATAGTTGGCTGGTTTACCCAACAATATTACATTAACAAACACACTTGTCTGCCAACTTTAACAGCAAACCTCAAATCTGTGAGCATGATTTCTTTCTGGAAGAATCTATTCAATCGCAAGAAGGCTTTGGGCTCATTAGAAGCACCTCCACCATACAATGACACAAATCCTAAATTCTCCACAGCTGCCGAAACCTCCGCCCAATGGTTTATACCCTCTCATGATGTGAAGGCTCAATCCTCCGCGGCCACCAAAACCAATCCAAGTACTCCATCGCCTACGTTTCCGCGTATTCATATACTCACAACGAACACCCGTCCGAATATTACCTCACAAAGTATTCCACAATGGAATTGGAACCATGCTGAATGTCGATTATGGATATTCAAAATGTTGACTGATAAGTGCGGTAGATCAGAACATTCTTACGAGCTGGCCATGATGTGGGAAGGCTTTGGCCCGGCATTATTCATGACTAAACATAGTACATGGCAGAAGTGGTTAGGGCCAAATGATGGAATATCAATTCATAGTGTTATTATGGAGAACTTGCGGTCAGAGGGAGCGGTACCAAGTAATCTAGCGATTCAGACTAGTGGCCCGAAATGTACTGATATTTAATGAAATTTGAGTCGTTTTGGGAAATTTGAGATGGGTTCGGAGCGGAAAGCTTGAAAATGCATAAACAAGATGTTCTAATCTTGTCGTGGGACTTAACAGCGTGATTGGAAGATAGCTAAGAATGCGGTTGCACGAATCTATATCCGTTCATTCCTAATTTTTCCACACAACCACAAGCGGAAGCGCCGACCTCAGTATGAAGAGAGGGGGGGAAGTAGGTAGCGAGGACACAGAGAATGAGAAAGACAAAAACGGCGAGAAGCGGAAGGAGATTACAGAGGGTGAAAAGCAATGGGAGTGAGCGGAGAAGTCAAGAGTATTCAATGTCAATGTCGCAGTTGTCAAATAATGCGAATTTTAAAACTCGCCAATCAAAGTTCAACATTAATCATTTTCTTCTCTGGTATCAGACCCTCCCTTTCCACTCATTGGATGGGATATCATATCAAAGCCAGACATCTATGTCTATGTTTTTCCAAATGAATAAGATGCGCAACGTGATTTTCCTGGAATATGATACCGTCTGACAACTAATCATCTACAGAAATAGTAGTCATTTAGTGGAAAATTCCATGTACGTGCTCGGCTCCGACGTGACGGTCATTCGTTCCCACTTTCGTTAACACCACTAACTCCGAGACTTGAGTCTTTATCCATACCCCTTCATCTTCTCCAATTCATCTCACGAGTGAGACAGCCTGATATTGCAAGATAGAATCAATAGCTATGCCTTTCGAATTTATCAACAATGCAACAGTCAATGATGCAGTCCGAAAACGCATTCGGAGTCACGTCGCTTTGGGAAGGAATGCTGGAAAGAAGCTCGTCCGACCGTCGAAAATGAGACCAACTGGGATGAAACGTGTAGCCACTTCAGCTTGTATAAATTTGAGCAGTACCCAAATTGACTCGGAGAATACCACTTTTGGAATCGAACGGCAGGTTGGGGATAACATTCCTTGTCTTTCATTTCCAGATCACTCTTTAAAAGATAAGCAAATCGTTCAGAGAAGTATGGCGATGTCCTTCCAGTGATACCTTTTTTTATGGAAATTTCTTGCTAATCTGAGTTGATTGCGCAGCTTTTTCATTCATAAGCAGTATAGGATACCCCGCGGAATTGAGCAAAGCTTTTATTAAAACTCGGATATCTACTTCGATATTCGTCCAATTCATGCTTTTAGACGAAGCGTGTACGCTACACCTACCTATTCTTAGACATCAAAACAATCTCACTAATTCAACTTCTCCTAGGCTTACACTGTGGTGTGGCTGTATCAGTCACGGCTCTCAATAATATCGTCCTAAATCAGGAAGATCCAAAGATAGCTATGCATCATCTTTCGCTTGCATTTCGCTTGGTAAATGAGAAACTATCTGGAAATGAGGCCGCATCTGATACTACTATTGCGGTTGTGTTGACTATGTCACATTATTATAGGTTGCAGGGTCAATTTAGCCAAGGCCTTGTACATCTTCAAGGACTCGAAAGGATGGTTAAGATGAGGGGTGGCATCTCGAATCTTAAAAAGAAACAGTATACTCTTGCTCAAAAGATATTCAGGTTAGTAATCAAGAGCTCTATGCATGATCAATGTTGATACATAAGATAGAGCTGATCTCGAATATTCTCTCCATTCGGGCACCTGCACACGATACACCGTTCAGGACATTGAATCCAATGATACATTCTGCACAAGTGAGAGTAGGAATCTAGATTTCTACAAAAACAAGGCAATGTCCTGTGCATTAGTTTCATTACCACTGAGCACCGATCTCCTTGTTCTTCTGGTAGATATTATTAGTTTCACTCTGTTGCTCAATGATGCCGTTGTTGGAAGAGCTTCCCCTTTGGGGGGTCACAAGCTTCACAGTACGCTTCTTTTTCTTGGATATCGTCTCCTCTCCATATATCCTCTAGGAGATTGTCGTCCTAAGAATCCTCTGGAGAACGCAATTCACTTAGGCCTAGCGTCATTCATCTCAACATTCATGCGTGGACTTGATGGAAAAGTCCCAGTCAATCCATTGTTGGCTAGTTTGCTTAGATCTTCTACACACGAACTTTCTAAAAGCAGATTTGAATCTCCGGAGGCATTACTCTGGCTATTACTTATGGGGAAGGCTTCGATCTTCGAAAGTCTTGATGACACCTGGCTAGCTTCAGATATAAGACATACTATGCAAGTTCTCAATCTTCAAGGTCATACTGATGTACAACGAAAGCTGGAAAGCTTTCCTTGGGTCTACGCCTTGCACGATAAAGAGGTCATATCATTACTGCAATCAATTGGAAGGTCTCGATCCGAGACTTTCAACGTTTAGAGACAAGGATTCAACTCTTATAATGAATTAGGGGATACCCCTTTAAGCATTTAGTACGAATAGAAGTAGTTGAGTGAAAATTTTGTGTGGAGAGAAAATCCATCATTTATTGATACATATAAGCAGATGCGCCATTTGTAAAAGAGGGAAGCTACATGAGTACTTGGAAAAAAAACTAGCACTAACAACGAGTAGTTTCACAAGCTTCATCTTTTGAATATCTTCTCTACGCACCCAGGCTCAATCGTCTCCAGTTCCCCTGCAATGGCATCCCAAACAATCTTCTGTGATTTCTTGCCATCCAAGTTAGTTACCCAACTTGGTATTGCATTCCTTAGTCAAGGTGTCAGCGTATTAACAGAGTGTGGCAACGATTCAAACGTACTCGGCGATGGTACAAGATTCCAATAGGCACCCATGACTGTCTTCGCCCGCAACGGTGCCGTACAACAATGTTCGACTACCGTCCTTGGCGGTTCGCCCATATTGCTCTTTTTGCTTAGCTATTCTTTCACGAAGTCCGGGGGGGACGCTGCGGCTAAGATCGGTCTTACAAAGACCGGGGCATACTAGGTTTATGACAACTCCAGTTTGTTGAAGGGGAAGAAGACCGGTAAGATGGCGAATTGCCATTATCTCAAGGAGCTTAGACAGTGGATACCTGAGTGAATTTCGTTAGTCTGAATCAAGCAACCCACAGACAACTTACGCCTTTGGAGTCATCTCTTCCATGTTCGACTTCACTATTGGATCATCCTTGATCTTCATCCAGTCCTCCCCGAAATCAAAACCGACTCTACTCGTTACGATAACCAGATGCGGTAAGGTTTCGAATCGCTCTCCAGATTCCTTCAATTTTGGAAGCAGCAAGACTCCCAATAGTATGGTGCTAATTACATTGACTGTAATTGTAAGTAGATGTCCCTCTTTCATGATTCTTTCTCCTGAAGCCACCCCAGCGTTCTCTATCACTGCATCGATTCTATCGAGTTTTTCGATTGCTCTTTTCGCAAAAGCTATAACAGAAGCGTATGAAGATAGATCAAGCTCCCGAACTTGGGCTACACCAGAAATTCCGGTTGATGATTCGATATCAGCCAGAGCGCGAAAGCCGGAAGACGGATCACGTACTGCCATAATCACGGTAGCAGAGCCCAGTCGAACAAGATGCCTAGCGGTTTCAAGCCCGAGACCGGTGTTGGCTCCGGTAACAATGTAAGTACGGCCTCGACACGTCTCAGTAGTAGCGAGGAGCGGAAGATTGTGGGGTTGAGTCGCAACTGCAGCTGGCATGTTGTCTGGGGAATAGTTGTCGAATAGTGGTGAGTGATGAGCAAGATACTTATGCTTAGGTATGTGTGGTTTCTGATAGAGGCTGGTCGTGATGATTTGCATTCAACCACAACTAGAGGGTGAACACCATGTTATATAGATTTTTCTAATATCGTTTCTCGTTGTTTCAACGCCCAAATTAAATAGCGCGGATTCTGATGAGATCATTTCCATGACAGGTGACCGGTCTTTAGCAAAATCCGTGAAAATTAATCTCCAAAATCCGAGATATGAAGCTCCTGCTGCACATTTTGATGTACACAAGAGCTCAGTTTGAGAAATGAGCATCCACGCATAGATGAGCCACAGAAGCGGGTCAATGAGAGAGTAGTTTCCTTATCTGTACATTCCGAAGCGAGTTTGATTCTCCACTGTTGTAATACGACCTATCAGAGACTACTTTCCCAGTTTGAACTAGCTCAATCCGAGGTCTGTAGCTGGAAAGTTGTGATTATATTACTTTGGAGGAAACAATTGTTAGGCAAAATTGCGCTCGTTGAATTAAATTTCATTGAGCATGTTTATACAATTTTTGAGATGATGGTGACAATGATCTATTTGCATTCCATATCGTCCCGACTTTTACTTCATCGATGGAAATGCCATCTTCACCATCGAGGTCCAAAACTTTACCATGCTTTCTAGAACAATGATGACATAGATTGACATACGAAGGAAGGTACAAATTCCTCTACAAGTTGAATGTATTGGGTTTGCTAGACGATTGAGAGATTTCAAAGAATCGGCAAGTCCACTATATTTACCTTCATTGGTATTCAGGAGCCCACTGTGGAATAGAATCCAGACTAGCGTAATTAACTGAAAGTCAAAACAACTGTTTGCTCTAACAAACCGGATGAAAAGGTTAGAGAGTCTGCGTGCATTCTAAGTTTCAGTTGTTGTGAATAGCCAAATAGATATCAAATGTCACGATGGAATAATGTGCTGTCAAGAGCGAGCACACCACCACAAAATACTTATTAGCATGCTTACTGCGAAAAGTTATGCGCTGAAAGGTTGCACGAGAAATAAATCTAGGAAGTCGCAAAAGAAATCACCAAGATACAAACTTGAACGGGAAGTAGGAACCAACCAAGTTAACTCTCGTAGTTGCGAACCTGTGTGTCAAAAGGTGTCACGGAAGCAAGTCTTTACACAAAAGCGCTGCCAAAAGAAGATGTGGTGAAAAGAGCAAAGTAAATTTAGTTGCATCAAGACGAAAGATAACTTATTAAGTTCCTAGTCAGGAAAATTGATCTCGATTGCCTATTTCCAGTTGATCAGTGGACCCTCGAAGTCTCATGATAACTGGTGTAGAGCTTGCTTGAGTCTCAACTACCATACATCTCATAGCCTTTACATTGCTTCGTAGCTCTTCTTCCTAGATAGTTGGCCACAATACTAGCCCAGAGTAATATGAGCATTTTTGACGGCAAATCTACCTTCATGATAAGAAGATACAGACTTGCGAAGAACATATCTGTCTTGGACTGATGTCATTGCCAAATCGTCAATTTTGCAAGTGATGATTGGTAATCTATATTGATACTCTGTATAGTAAGATCTCTGATGTTTAGTCAGGTACGCACGAAGAGTACTTGGAACGGTCGATTGCCATATTCAAACTCGTTATCGGACAACAAGTCTCGTAGGAGCACACCGTATGTTTCCTCTTATCAGAAACGAAGTCTATATTACAATTGAAGTGAATACAAATCAAAGTATCTTGTCCTAGGATTGACGGATGAAACGGGTACAAAGTGTATCCCGTATGGAGGGCTAAAGTTTAGCACTTGTGTATACTAATTGGATCGGTCTGAATTTCAATGGAAGCAGGCGTTGAGATCCGGATCTGGAGAAAGCGGGAAGTATTTGGGACTCTCGCAATACCCATCATAACTTATGGCTAATACATGCTGAGCCAAATGGTACGATAGGGGCTAACGACAGGTACCACGCGAGAATTTATTCACATCTTTCAAACAATTGTAATCAACTAAATTAGCTGAATAGGCAGGGAACTACCTCGGGCTTCACGTGAAAGTCGCATATATGGATGAGTTCATGATTCTTTTCGCAGCTTCTTTTCGCATACAACGTATGTAAATCTAAAAAATTATGTCAAGCATGCTGTCTAAAGACTTACCGACGGCTTGTAGGACAAGAATAATGCTAACTATGATTCATTCTTACTATTCTGATCATTTGAGTCCGAATCTCACCCTCTGACTGTCACGGATACCTTCGCATATCACTGAACCAATCAATTTGACCTAGAACGTCACCCAACTATGCTCTAGACGCCAGTTTAGCCCTTTAAAGTTTGACCACTCGAAAAACCATTGCGATGCTCTTCATTACAGAGCCAATTGCCGTTGTGGGCAATCATCCGTGTGAAGCTTGAGGTCTAAATAGCTCTCAAACTAATGTGTCCTCTAGAGCACGAAGAGGCGCAATGAGCGCTCAAGAATTCCTTGGCTCCTCAAATCCTCGTTACTTTTCGCTTTTCGCGATGCCAGAAGCAAGGGATCGTGTTCGAGGTCAACTACTAACCTTCGCGTTGGGAAAAGATATGTGCCTTGCCAACATGCAATAGGTGATTATGTTTTCTGGCTAGTTGGTACTCTGTAATTCAGAATATCGTGATGTTGATCTCCATAATTGTGACCATAAACGTTCATCTCTTTTCGTCGGGATGCATAGAATCGATGCCTTACTGCTGGTGTCATGCCCGAATTCTTCCAGCAGAACTTTTATGCAAGACAAAGCTATGCGAGTTTTATGAGACGTTTCGAGCCTTCGGACTATACACTGCTCGAGGCTTTAGCTCGTATGGATACAATTCTTCAGTGTCCAATCTTTCTCAATCCGTGGGATATCTCGGATCGTACATCTCATACCCGTATTGTTCATCGTCGGTATCGCTTTCTAAACCATCTTCCTTGACTCCAAGGCCTCTGCCTACTTGAACCTTTTCTTCAATTTCATCATTCACGGGTGCGTCAGCTCCGCCCCCGTCAACAGGAGCAAAAGCACTTTTGAACCCCGATTTCTTGAAACCCCCTTTCTTGAAACCTCCAGCAGTAGCTCCAGTATTTGAGCTTGCTTCTCCACCCAACTTTATTGAGATCAACCCAGACTGCGAGTTGGCTTTCGCTTCTGCCTTTCGAGCTTTGCTAGAGGCCATTGGATCGCGTGTTAATTGTCGCATGTCCTTAAGACGTTGTTTATGAGAGTGGTCGTATGAAGAGAGATGGGCCTCATATTCGTTCATTCGAGCGTACCCTTTGCTGCATAATTCGCCTGTGTATGTAAGAGAATGTATGGAAGGTGGATGGGGCCATGATAACCTACAATAGAAAGATTTAACAGCCTCGCGAGCACTTTCAGTTTTGGGGGCCGGATTTGTGAAACCACGCTTGAAGATGACATTAGTACTTTATTCAGGCAATCAATTCCACGTGAGAAGACTTACTGGAGGCATCTCTTGTGACGATCGTGACGATTTTGTTGTGTTGTGTTGTGTTGTATTGTGTTGTATTGGAAACTCTTTTTCTCTCTTGCACCCAATGTTCGTCAGACACACGTCGTATGGGGTACTCGCTGCTTGTACGTGCCTATACGTAGGAGAAAAAACAGGCCGGAATTGACCAATACGCAACACCTCTCTCTACACATTGTTTTGGTGAGGGTGCACGTACCATTGCGCAGTGGTCAATTCCGGCCTGTTTTTTCTCCTACGTATAGCATGCGTGATGCCTGACCACGTGATTTGCTAGGAAAATTAAGGTGCGATCCAAGCTTTGTAACCTTAAATCTATCCGATCCATACATCTTCAACACATTTCACACTGACTGTCTAGTTCTTACCTTGTTACCAACTAATAAGTGTCCCGAAACTCTTTTTATAATTCTTGTCATCATTTTAATGCCTTTTTGATAAATTTCATTTTGTTGATACTGAGATCTCATATACACTTGCGTTCATTGTAAAATATGGAACAACGGCGAGATTCCATCGCTTCAGACGATACTTTTGTTGATCTTCAACAATTAGATCCTTCACCTATAGATTCCCCACTTGACTGGGATGAAAAACTACCCGAATTGCCTTCATACACCTCGTTTGGAAGATCCTCGACATTAGGACTTAGTGGTTCCGGTCATGGAGCTGTATATTATCGTCAGTGCTATTTGTTGTAAATTTATATCATGGGTATGGACTAACGAGATAATGTGATATAGTCACACGTATACAACGTTACTCGTCGTATGCCTTTTCAGTCTTCAGTGCTTTGCATATCACGAATACCTCCATAATACCCCTCATTACCCGCTCGGTACCTGCTTCTGAAAAGTACCTATTACTGACTCGCCCATATTATCGTAAGTGCCCCTTTGGCTAAGCCTGTATCCCTCATCCTATGCTTCACGTGGCCCACTAACCCTGCAACAGAATCATTTCCTCTCGAGCCATTACTCGTTGGTCTCCCTCTCGCTGCTCACATAACTTCTGGCTTCGCGTTACGTCTCTATCGCCGCCGTGTAGCTGAAAAACGCTACTCCTCCCATCAACCGTCCAGTTCTCTTTCATACTTTTCCTTCTTATCACCGAAGTTCTGGCCTTCAATCTCGTTCACCTCTATTTCAGGCTATGTTCTCGCTCCTCTTGTAGCTTCTCATATGTTCGTTAACCGAGTTATTCCTTTGATACATGAAGGAGGATCATCTGGCGTTGGGTTGGGATACGTTGCGCATGGTTTTGCTAAACATCCAGTGATTTCTTGGACGACGTATATAGCTTTGGTGGGATTTGGAGCGGGACATATGGTTTGGGGCACAGCAAAGTGGTTAGGGTTACTACCTAGAGGAACCGAGAGGGAAAGAAGAAGGAGGTGGTGGAGCCTCAATGGTATTGTTGGTCTTGTGAGCCTTATCTGGTATGCTGGTGGATTGGGAGTCATTGCACGAGGTGGTGCGGAAACCGGTTGGGTCGGTTCTGGATACGACGCTCTTTATCAAAAAATCCCACTACTGGGATAGAACCGGTGCAAAATACAGTCCGGTTTCTCGTAATACTCTGGATCTTTTAGCAGCACAGCAAGGTGTTTGGTTTTAGACTCTGGATTAATATTGCAGGAACGGCAGATGAATGTGGCCCTGATGGATAGACAATTTCATGTCATGTATATGCTAACATACCGCTCCGTATAAGACGATCATGATGGGATGAATTCGAGTGGGTAGAATGGAGTCATTTAAACGGTGGCAAAACCTTCACCGCGGTCCACGTTTCCTTCCAGCCTTTTCAACGTTTGTACAAACACATGTTTTCATTGACGCGCCCTCTCTCCAGTTGGGTTAATGTAATCTTACAGTTGTGATCACACCAATCCGAATCTAAATCAAATGGTTATAAGATCTGTAGAACACATCTCTGTTGTCATTTTGGTCATGACAAGAGACTATGCAGCTTAGCAAACGCCTCAGCCTCTATTTTACTGTTACGTCGTCCCTAACATCCACGCATGTTAACAAGAAGATAGCTTCGTTGGAAACTGTTGGGGTGTTGAGCAGATATCGATCAAGAAGGGCTACAATAATGTAACAATTGGAGTCCAGCTAATAACGGAAACACCACAGAAACACGCGACACATTGCAGGACTTGTTGAGAATATTGTAATTAGGACTTGATTTTATTATCTAGACATGACATGCTGAACTCCCACAACTATATACAACATAGCAGCAAGTTCCTCCACGTCGTTGAAAAGGTGCAAAGCTACAACATATAAGAAGACGCCCTTACGCCACTTGATGTTTGAAACATTCATCCAGCCATGTTCCCATCCATCCCTTTTTTGCTATTCCCAATAAACTCCACCCATAAGCCAAGCATGAAACGTATGTATTCACGCCATGCTGCACCCATCAAAAGCGAACGCCAATCAACTCGCCAAGTACTATTGCTTTAGTCCATGATTTAAGCATACCATCCCTTAGCGCCAATATTGCTATTGTCTTGTTCTTCTCTGTGATCGATCATGGGTTCTTTGATATCGAAGAGGTTGATCATTTCTTGCCAATCTTGCATATCGAGAGATAGGACTGCTTGATGTCTTGCTGTATGGGAAGAATTTCCATTGTCTTTTGGATCCTTGACGCCTAAGTACTCTATCAGCTATCATTGTCTTCTTGAGAGGCATGAGAAAACAAACCTATGTATGGGAGACCATCCGAGTCTATTTCAACTTCTACTTTACCGTCTCGAACCAAGAAGCTCACATAAAACATGTTCTCAATCGTTTGGCCGAAGGAAAATGGATTGATGACAAATTTGAAATATGCAATACTACAATTCTCCGATACACCATACTTTTCCCTCAGCGCAACACCATCTTCTTCAGACATGTCTTCTGTAGCCTCCAGCTCAACAGCATTGAAGGCCTTGGCCTGAACTTCCTTCAATCTGTCTTGAATTTTTGTGCATAAATAAGTCAGATTTGCATTCTCTGATTTCTCTATATCATCTGCTCTCAAAACCTCGGGTTGTATTTCGTGAAGATTGTTCAGTCTGAGAGGAGCTCTTCGAACAATAGCCCTGCGGGCGCGCTTTTGTAAAGACAGGGGGCCAAGGAGAAAACCGGGCACTGATGGACGAGCATTGTTCGGTAAACATGCATTGCGCCCGAGATGTTCCCAGTTGAGCATTTCTCCATCATTGTCGTTATCGCTGTCATCTTCATCTATGGCACCATTCCGGTGACTCCGCTGAGTACTACGTGGTGCATGGTCCTGCGAACGTTCGCCCCTTCCCATGTATAACTTGATCTTAGAAACAAAGTCATCCACGTCAACTCCTTGTGCGGTGTCACCAGATGTCATTCGCAGCGTCTTCTTCTTGGCGAGATCTGCAGTACTAACAAGCAATCGTGAATCGATTGTTGCATCCGAGGTTTGTTTGACTTTCTCTGATAGCTTATTTGCTTTGAGCAACGTATCCTTGATGCCCGTTGATTCTGCATTAAGATACTCGGCACGATTATCCTGCAGAGTTCTTGAAAGACCCCTCAAGTCGGACCGAAGCTTTCTTCTCTCTTCGACACTTTGATCTGGATCATAGTCCTGTTCCCCCTCGTCGTCATCTTCAACCGCTTCGATCGTGCGCCTTCTTTGGTTGCGTTGCATTGAATGGTCTCCCTCGCCGGTGGTCCCAGTGCGCTTTCTCTTACTGATGGGTGATGGTGCTCTTGGTGGACCCATGGAAACACTTACGGCGCGACCTTTCCCCTTGTCGATTGCATTTCTTGAAAAGTGGTTCTCTTTATCGGATGAAATAGAAGCGGCTGGAGAAGGAGATAAAGTCATGTTATCGGAAGTCCTTCGTGGATACATTGGCCCAGGAGATGCTTCGTACAAATCGTCAGCAAAACGAGGGGCAGGAGATTCCGAGATCTTAATTCTAGACATGGTGAACTATTGTGAAAGTTTGGCGCGGTCCAAATTTTCGTTGAGATTTTATGATAAATTGGACGCGAACATTCAAGACGTAGCTGCGATAAGTGAATAACCTCGCGCGTCGCGTTTGATACGTCGTGTTCTCGACCGAAAGTTCCTGATAAGATAAAGAATTAAGCTTATCGGATGATAGAATTTTGATCGTTAAAATTGAGAGTAATTTGTCACTGTGTTATTTCCATTATGAATATCATGCTGTAGGTTCCAAATAAGATGTTCGTAGTCGGAAAGAGAGAGAAGTGAAGAGAAGGATAGTGAATGGTGATATGGATTGAATGGGAGGGAGGAGAAGGAAGGTTTGAGGGAGAGGTAGAAGTAGAAGTTGGTGTGGGTGTGGGTGTGGGAGATGTGGTGTATCTGTACCGGTATACCTAGTGGCCCTCAATCAAGAAAGAGCAAGTCGCGTCAAGGGAATCTTTCAATGTATCATGTGACATTACTTCAGTCGTTGTTCAAGTTCCTCAATCCTAATGATAGAGAGGGCGAAAGGGCGAGAGAGTGAGAGGGCGAGAAAGATCAATCTTGGCGGGGCGATGCTAGCGTGACGTGTGAGCGGAATTATAATGTTCCGATAGCACCATGTGGGGAAGCGCAGTGCACAGACACCGTAGGCACGTGGTAGGATGGCTCAATGGCACATTTACTTGTGATATCGATGTTACCTCCCGTCATCTCAACTCATCTCATACATAACAATAATAGTAATTCATACCAATAATTCATTGTGTTTGTTTCACGGGATCTGCGGCTCCTACGATCTCTGTACTACAGGTTCACGTACCACGAGCTTATTAATTAAGCAATTAACATTACAAACTCATTCTTGCTTCCCTTCCAACTTGACTCCTTCTACCAAATATCCGTGGAACATGGATCATGGAACCCTTCTCCTTTGCAAGTTCAGAAGCTCTTGATATTCCAGTAAATATTAGAATGTAAGTCGAATGTTAACACGACATCTTAGCATGCTCGTTTGCAAACCTGCACACCCACTAAACATTATATATATATATAGCGTCAACCTTGAAGGGGAGCAGACCCCAATTCCATTTTCCACACTCATAAATCGACCAGACTTGAGACATATTGGCTCCAATTTGAGGTAAACTGCCTGTGTATACGTTTCTATATTGCTTTCGAACTAGAGCATACTGACACCATTATTCTGTTGCAGCCCTCACTCGGATCTTTATGTCACTGTACAGTTATGGGCTGATTCGAAACCATTAACTGTACCCGTCCAAACAGCCTATAAATCATTCAAACATGAGAGAAAGTGAGTGTCGAAGTCTGCTGAAAGACTCGAACGTTGCTGACCGTGGGGAAGATGGAATGAATGGCTCACCTTGCCCATAAATTGTTCAACGATACCTTTGAGTTCTCAACTTGCGATCACAGTATGGGATTTGTCTCCAACGGGAGGTGATGGTGCTCAAGGGCATGCTGTACCATTTGGTGGGACTACTTTACGGCTGTTCGACAAAGATAATCAGCTGCAAAAAGGTCGTCAAAAATGTCATTTACATCGTCGCAAGGCTGCAGATGGCCTGGATTCCTCCTCAACGCCCGCAGTCCTACCTAATGTGCGTCGTGCCGGATCTAAATCTAAGGAAGAAGCTGAAATAATAGACAAAGAGGGTGAAGAACTAGACAGGCTGGAGAAATTATTCAAAAAACATGAAATGGGCGAAATTGCACGTATCGAATGGCTGGATCAATTGGTTTTCAGAGGAGTAGAAAAGCGAGGTCTTCAGGCGTCCAGTGCCACACTCAAGAACATACAGCGCAGAAGAACTCGACAAAAAAGTGTGATTTTGACTCTGGATGGGGCAAAAGAAAAGAATAACGATACCGAACATGATTTATTGGACGACCATCCTTCCAAGGATGAAAGATTCACTCTTCATGTGGAGCTACCCAGATTCGACTTCCCGGTTGTATTTGCCGACCATGAGTACCCACCGCCACCCATATCTTCGCTACAGAATCTTTCTTCTTCTCAGTCAAACATCATCCTTAAACCTCCCCCGCAAGTTCAATTCGGGCCAGGCATCAATGGTTTCGGGGACAATGATGAGCATGGCTTTGGTGGGCGCCTTGTAAGAGTCTACGACCCTGAAGTTGGGGCCAGGGATAACCCCGCGGAGAGTAAACATCGTCGCCTGGTCCGAAGTCACAGAACTGGAGTGCTAGATCGTGACCTTAAACCGAATGCCAAAGTCCGAGATGAATTAAACAACATTATCGCATATTCGCCAACACACTTTCTATCACCAGAGGAAAAAGACCTTGTCTGGAAATTCAGGCATCATCTTGCGCGGGACAAAAGGGCACTCACAAAGTTCATCAAATCTGTAAATTGGAATGACCCAAACGAAGCCCGTGAAGCAGTGGCCATGTTGAGCAAATGGACCGAAATTGATGTTGATGACGCTTTAGAGTTATTGGGGCCAACATTCGAAAATTCTTCCGTGAGAGCTTACGCTGTGGATAGATTACGAAAATCCGACGATGACGAGCTCTTGCTCTATCTGTTGCAACTTGTACAAGCCCTCAAATTCGAGCATATTTCACCCGATTCGGCTGAAGATGCGACACAGGATTCTTCCCTTGCACGACTACTTATTTCAAGGGCAATAAATAATTTCCAACTCGGAAATCTCTTTCACTGGTATCTTATGGTAGAATGCGATGACAAAAGCGAAGATCAAGGAGCTGGCTATCGTAAACTATTTGCCAAAGTTGAATACGATTTCATGACCGAATTGGTGAAGGCGCCCGAAGGAGTTGAGACTCGAAAGGTTCTACTGCGCCAGGCAGAGCTTGTCACAATGTTGTCTAGGGTTTCTGAAGATATAAAGTCTTCACGGGATACAGTATCTCGCAAGGCCGAGAAGGTAAAGCAGTTTCTTGCCGATCCTAAGAATGAACTCATCACTATAGACCCACCCCTACCTCTACCGCTTGACCCGTCGATTATGATCACCGGCGTGGATCCTTCGGAAACGAATGTTTTCAAGTCATCGTTGTTTCCAATCATGATAACTTTTAAGACGACAACCAAACAAAAATATCAAATCATCTTCAAGACAGGAGACGATTTGCGCCAGGATCAATTAGTCATTCAGATCATTACACTCATGGACCAGCTACTACAAAAAGAGAACCTAGACCTGAAGTTGTCACCTTACAAAATCCTTGCGACCGGAGCAACTGCAGGAGCTGTCCAGTTCGTTCCGTCCATGACCCTGCAGAGCATTGTCAACAAGTTCAAGGGCAACACTGTACTTAATTATCTCAAATCCAATAATCCTGATGACAAGGCCTCTCTTGGTGTTCGCAAAGAAGCCTTGGATGTGTTTATAAAATCGTGTGCAGGATACTGCGTGATTACATATCTTCTTGGTGTGGGCGATCGTCATCTAGACAATCTTCTTCTGGCACCAGATGGTCATTTTTTCCACGCTGATTTTGGCTTTATACTTGGTAGAGACCCCAAGCCATTTGCTCCCGCGATGAAACTCTGTAAGGAAATGGTAGACGGGATGGGAGGATCTATGTCGGAACATTATCCGCAATTCAAACAGTACTGCTTCACGGCTTACACAACATTACGTAAATCCTCAAATTTGATTCTTAATCTCTTCAGTCTGATGGTTGATGCCAATATTCCGGATATCAAAATTGAGCCAGACAAGGTTGTATTGAAAGTTAAAGAACGATTTCATTTAGAGTTGAGCGAAGAGGATGCAATCAGGCATTTTGAAAGGTTAATTGAGGATAGTGCGAATGCGATCTTCCCAGTCGTCATTGACAGGTTGCATGGTTTTGTGCAGCATTTCAGGTAGAAAGTGATGTCAGTCATCAAGGTCGAGCAGGAGTTTGGCGTCCATGAAGTATCGAATTTAGACCACGATTTAGATTTAAATATACTCGTCTGTAGTCTGCTAGCAATCTTCATCAAGGCCTTACATAATAAATGTACAAAATTCACGGATGATAGTTCTGGTAAAACTGCCCCTGCGTGCTTTGAAGTTAGAGTATCTTGTATTATAGGTGGATGATGATCAGAAGTTGTGAAGTGGCACTCACCTACTAGATGCGTCACTATTTCCTTCAGTGAAGAACTTAGTCTGATAACATACCCATGGAGCGGTTTATTTATAACATGTACTATTTTATACACTAGCCACTGTTCTTGTAAGTACTCATGCTTTTCCGACATCGAGGTTGAAGTACTAAAACTCAAAAAGCAAAATGGTTCATTTTATCGTTGGCCAACATAATAATTTCGAACCATCTTATGACGAACCTCACTGAAACATTCCACTTAGTCTGGGTACGAAAGTTCAACTTGGGACAGGTCTTCAACCGTCTTATCTACACACATTTTAATAAATCTCCCTATATAAGGTGACCTCTTCGATCCATTGATTGTAGAATAGGTACATCCTCGAAAAGGGCAAGGAGTTTCATGGGAATATCACACTCACACTCGCCTTTTTCTATTCTGAGACCATATATTGATCCTTGATAATGGCCAATTTTGTTCGTTAACAAGTTTATTTAACCCGAGAACACTCAAGTTTAATACATAGGAGAATGGAAAGCTTATTCAAAACAAATCGATCAGATGAAACCCGTTTACATGGTAAACGAGCTAAGTTCAAGGTTATGTTTTATACGCTCGGCCCATATTCCTGTGGTATCTTACCCCAGTCATCAAACCTATCAAGTTCCCTGGGCATAACGCCAGACTAAGAATACTATTGCACATATTTCGAATTTCACAGGGTTGATATAGCTCATCCTTTGATCTAACAATAAAGCGTTTAGATACGCGACTTTTCTCGATTCAAGACTCTGTCCTAGACTTTGGGCTTTGGACTAGTAATGAAAAAGTGTGGATTTTAGATTTGCTTATCCTAAAATTATATTGAGCTTAATATGGACGTGCGGATTTGACTGGCTGGGCTGGGATTTGATATGAATGTCAATATCTAGGATCCGAATTTATACTTCTACCAAGGGTCTGACTGAAATGACAACGGTGGATGTAGGGTAGAGGGTAGCTAGTTCCCGTCACGGCTGACACAAAAACTGATTGTTGATAGGTTAAGTGTGCCCTACTCTTATTTCGGAAAGGGCAGGTAGCTAACTACACAATAGCCTTGTAGCTATGTAGCGCTTGCTTTTTCTCCGTCTTTTCTCTTCAAATATGTTGGTAGCATTTGACTTTTTGCATAAGCTCAAGAGGAAGACATAGAAAACCATACGCTTTTCTCGCTATACGGGAAGAGCACTAACTCGTACAAAAATCGGCTGAAACAGAGAGATCGATCAATATCGAAGAATTCGAGTACCAATTCTCGAAATGTCTTGCTATTGCGCAAACTACTATGTGAGTGCTGGCATCCCAAACCTGCCAAACCTCCTCTCTCCTTGTACATGAACCACATAAGAATACATCACATGCTCATATAACAGCCAGGGCTCCCTCAATTGCCAGAATATGGTTCTAAAATTTGGTGATCAGTGCAGTTCATGTCTTGTGAGCACGAGTCCCTTTTCATTATTCAAGAGTTCCCACATGGAGGACTAACCCTGACCCAAGGCTCAATCTCCAAGTCATGATGAAAAGTTTGAATGGGGTGATGCACTTCTAGGTCAGCAGTGGTTGGAGAATTCGAGTAAGGAACAGATGAGGAGAGATGAGGATAAGCCTAGGAGAGGGAGAGTTGGGAGGGCTGTAAAATGAAGGTGCTAGATAAGACAAAGGGTGTGAAAGAGGGAAAAAAGTTGTAATGGTACGATTGTGTTGGATCTGTGGATTATCGGGTATAGTTGTGGTCATCAAAGGGTACTAGGTATATAGAAGCTATATGGGTGGACGGGTGGATGGAAAAACTAGGTGTTGTCTTTGGGTGAGAAGTGCTCTTGGGGCTCGACTGAATTTTGCAGAAGGGATAACATTAATGATCTTTGCTTTTTTGGAGGTCAATGGATTATCTACAGGTTCCATTTCACATGTTCCAAACTTAGGTGGGCAAAAGATTCAGTAATTAAGAAAGAAAACAAACAAAAACCAGTGAATGAATTATGGTTGGGCCGGTGTTCAATCGGTAATGTAATTGAACATAATATGAGAGTGTTTTAACAATCTCAGAAGGAAATCTTTCCTGGGTATAATATCTTCGAGATCCAAACACATAAACCGAACTCCCGGGGAGGATCTGCACCAATGTTACAGACTATCTTGCTTAGAAGAAGAGGGTTTATCTGATGGATCTACATCCATTCTTTCTCCCTCTTCCACTGCTTCGTCTCCAAATTCCTCCCCTGGACTGTCCGCGCTCTCTGACTCCGCGCCATTCTTCATCACCTCAATATCGCCCTCACTCTCATCTAGTAGATCCTCGATATCTCCAAGTGGACTGATCCTCGGCTCCAGCACCTCTAAGTCTTCTAGTATTTCCCTCTTCGGCATCTTCCACAAGGTCGTCCCACACACCCTATCCTTCGTCAACAAATCATCCACGAACTGATCCATGAATGTCAACGTTGTGCCTGTCCTTGTCTTCCTTCTTAGCTTTCTCCTATCTTCCAAATAACCTTCTAACATAGTGTACACATCTTTTGCCTGTCTCGTCATCCTCCAATAAAACAATGCTAAAGCCCTCAGATACTTGAATTTCTCTCCACCATACCCCATATATTCTTTTAATATGTCGTCGCTGGGGCCTAATTGTAGTAACTTAAAAGCAAGACATAGAAATGGCGAAGGTCTTTGCGAATCTCCATATGTGCCAGCGATGAATGTTACGTGAGCAACAACACGCGAAACGATATCAGCTTCATTGAGAGCAAAACATTGGTCTTTCCAGAAATAACAATCGACAATGCGTTCGCGCACAGGTTTCTCGAGGATGGTAGCAGGATTAAGACCGTTGGGGGCAAGAGGACCAGTGTTGCCGCGTTCGTCAAGGAAGCGCTTTTCATCGGCGCGGTGGGTAGCCATTTCTAATGGACAGAAGTCTTGATGCGATTCGAATTATATTTTGGGAGCTGGGAAGAGGCAAAGAAGCTTCAAGATTTACATCAGAGTAACCGAGCTGAATATTAATTCACCTGGTCGTGTATCACCAAGTAACGTTGTTTAACGATGGGCTCGAGAAAAGGTAGACGATGACGGTGATGGAGGTAGTTTTTATCGCAATGACTGATAATTGATAGTTGATAGTTGCCATGTCAACCAATCACTAATATTTTCAATCTTGCGCGAAACGAAACGAACCCAACGCATCATGATGCGTAAGGATCAATCATGTGTCTGATGCTTATATAGGTATAAAACTATATAAATATGGCACATACGAGTAATTGTATATGATTTACGGATTTATATCAACTCCTTCACTACATTCCACGACACTACAATACACCACACCACACCACTTCAATCAATCATATTGATCATACCGCTGTGTTTGTAATTTCTATAAGAAACCTCGACTTGTCAGCTCAATTTTGAAATACCAAACCCAAACTCACGTCGCAAAAACATGCTCCTGACATCCGGGCAAGTTTCAGTCGCTATTTCTTCCTTTATCGGTATGTGCGAGTAATTACCTCTCCTCCGCGTTGCTACAGATAGCATTGTGCATTCACTATCTAGCAATGAGGACTTGTTTCCTTTTGATAATGGTAGTTCAAAGCTAATGAGTAACTGTCAGTATTTTTCTTTACCACCGCGCTCTTCCTCTCCGGGTATGTTCTCCAACAGCAAACAGTACGTGATTTAAGAGAAGCTATCAAACCCCAGTTTCAAGCAAAGCTGGTGGGGTTAGAGGTTCCAGACAATCTAAATATCAATGCGGATAGGAGCGGAAGGAAAGGTCAGGTGGAGGTATTTTTGCCCAAAAAGTTCGAGAATGAAGCGGTACGAAAAGGGAATATAAGGGCGGAAATCAAGAGAGATGTAGAGGAAGAGATTGATGAAGTTGTTGGAAAAAATGGAAAAAATAAAAAGATGCGGGGGGAGGGGAATGAAGAGTGGAGTGGGGCTGGGCTTGAGGAGAGTGTCACAGAGGTACGGAAGGGCTACGGGAGTATCGAAGGTGAGGGTGATGGTGCTGGATCGGCGGATAATACAGAGGGTATTAAGAAAGGGGGAAGGGAAGAAATTGCAGTTCCAGAAAAACCGCTAAGTCGTGCAGAAAGGAGGAGGAGAATCAAAGAAGAGCTCGTAACATCAGGAGAAGGGGAAACTTTTAATGGGTATCGAAGACGTGTTCCGGGAGCTTGACTTTGAATTGCATTCTGGGCGCATGAGTACAAGGGAATGGGAAATGTCAATATGGGATGTATCATACAGATCTGGAGTTTGGAAGGGTTGAATTGGACTAATTCAAGGCGGATATACCATGTGAGCAGAAAGGACATATATCTTCATTGTATTCATTGTACTAAAGTAAAAGATGTAAGAAAAGATTAATTACCTATAATGAAGCTTGATCGGCTTTTAGTTGTAAATTAATAATGTTTTCAAATATATCTATAAAAGTATTTCTAAACATGAATGAAACTATAGCTCAAAGGGCTCATCTTTCTTTAAAATCTAGCTCTCTTTATTAGATATTCCTTTTTATAGACTAATAGTATATAAAAGAAGAGTTAGTTCTAAATCCTCTTACTTTTTAATAAGATTATTTATTGATTAAAGATTGATAAATATACTTTCTTCAAATCGCTTATTAATCAAATTATTTATTTTATTTAATTATCTTTATAATTCTCATGTATATAAGAACGTTTTTTCAATAAATATTAAGTCTATAATAATAGTAATAAATTCGTAATCGATTCGATCTATATAGTTATACTAAGATCATACGATGTATTTATATCTGTATCTAATTAAATAGAATAAAAAAAAAGATAACGTAACGTATGGGGAACTCGGATATATGGGGAACTCGGATACTTTTTCAATTATTCTATAGTTACACGATCTTGTTCTATAAGCTATACAATCCTCCAATTCCAATTCCGAATTACTTGAACTATTTTGTCACGGGGTGACACTAAGCCCTTTCTGTCCTGTCCTGTCCTGCTATATATGTGAGAGTAAGGTAGAACTTTCAGTTCTACATCCTAGTCTTTTGGGCGTTTAGCTCAGCGGTAAAGCTTCTGAATACTCCCAGAAGTGATCCCGTGACATATTTTCTAGCTCTTTTTTTTCAATCTTTTCTTCTGATTTTTTAATTGAATATTTATATAATTATCCTTATAGCTTTTTTTTCTTTGGTTTTTCTTTTATTTTTGTTGGAAATCATATATATGATACTAAGCAGTATGCTAGTAACAAACATCTTATTCTATTCTAACAATTTTATATATTATTTTTAATATTTTCTTAGTATTAAAAACAAATTAATCTTATAATTTGATTCTTTTGCTTTTAGTTTTTTTCTTTTGAATTTCAATTATTTTCTAAATATTAGAAAACTGTTTTTGAAATAGGACTATCTCAGTATTTTGAGATTCTATAAATCTAATTATTCTTTTAATATATTAATGAATTAATGATATAGAAGAATCATTGTTTACTAAAATTGTATTAAAGATTTGATTTGTTTGTTTTAGTTTTATTTTATTTAAAAAAGAACTTCTAAATATAAACAAATCTAGATCTTGATTAGAGATTCTTATTTGTAAAATAAAAGGTTATTAGAAGGAATTAAATAATAATAAATTGAGTATTTTTTATAAAACAAAAGATATTAAATCAATTTCTCTTTAATTAATTTTAATATTAAAAGAATTCAATACTTTTTTTCTAATATTTTGAAAAAGTTTTATTTATTCAATTTTTTGGATTTGTTTTATATTAGTTTAAGAATATCAATTGATTTTTAAAGTATGATATTGTTTTATTAATTTATATATTATAATATTAAGTAATTGAAGTAAATAAAAGTAATAAGAAAATAATATAAATAAATCAATATTATTCTTATATAGAAAGTAATAACACGACGGACACGGTCACCGCGTGGGATACGGCTTTGCAATCTATCGCGGCAAGTAACAGATTGATAGCGGTTACGGCCATTTACGCGAACAGTTGCATGTCTTTGATGCTGAGGCGATTAGTATATAGTGGGGATTAGAATGTTTTCTGAGTATTATTGAGTGTTTCTATTAGAAACGAATATAACTGTGTATTGATAATATCTTAGTAATCTGGAAAATGCGAGAAAACGTTACTATTTCCTTTCAATAAGTATATTACAAGTGTTACTAAGCAATATAACATTATAATATTAACGTGGTTTATCAGTGCATGGCCCATATCAGTGGGTGGCTCACTTTCACCTCAATTCTACTCTCTCATTTCAATATGCGTTTTATCAACAATCTACAATGGATTCAAATAATAAAGAAGCCTGTATATTACTTACTATTACAGCTATTTAGAAAGATAAGAAGCTAAATACTCGAAAGGCTATAATACTATATAATATTCTATAATTAATATTACGATATAGAATTAACGGTATGCCTTCTTATACAGAAATTTAACCTAAATCTCAAAATCTCTTGGAACTAGAAGAGGAAATTATTATTCAGTATATAATTGATATGGATTCGAGAGATTTTGTATTTAAACAAAAAGGAATGGAAAATATAGCGAATTATATTCTTGAATTTCAAGATGCAAAAAGAGTTGGAAAGCTTTAGGCTTATTGATTTATCAAATGTCATATAAAGCTAAAGATATGTTTTAAATATATTTATAACTTTCAAAAAGTTTTTTGTGAAGATCCTATATTTATTGAAAATTGGTTCCGATTTATATCGAATATATGAGCGAAATATGGTATTCTCGATTATGATTTATGGAATTTTGATGAAATAGATTTTATAATGGGAATAATAAGTATTGGTATAGTTGTTATTGATGCTGAGAGATGTGGTAAAAGTAAAGCTATATAGTTAGATAATCGAGAATGGGCTATAGCGATTATATATAGTAATAGTGAAGGGGATACTATATCTCTATTTCTAGTAGTTCAAGGACAAATGTATTTTTCTAATTGATATATAGAAATCGATCTTCCTGTAGATTGGGCTATTAAATCTATAAACAATGAATAAATGAATAATGAGATAGAATTAGAATGATTGAAATACTTCAATAAATATATAAGAAATCGAATTAAGGGCAAATACAGAATACTAGTGCTGGATAGGTATGAAAATCATAAATCAATATTATTCTAGAATTATTATAAGGAGAATAATATTAAATGTATATATTTACTATTACATTCAAATCATTTAATCCAGTCTCTTGATATTGAATACTTTAGTATCTTAAAATGAGAGTATGGTATACAAATTGAGGGGTTTATAAGAGTATATATCAATTATATTTCAAAGATCGAATTCTTTATAGCTTTTAAAGCTATATATCAATAATCAATTATAAATCAGAATATGAAATCAGGATTTCAAGGAACAAGATTAATTCTATTCAATCCTGAAATAATACTTTTTAAATTAGATATTCGAATCCATATATCTATTCCTTTTCCTTCTAATTCAGAATCTTGGATCTTTTAAATACCTTATAATCCTACAGAAGTACTTTTTCAATTAATATTAATTAAATCTCAAATAACTTATTATTAATCGAGCTCTTCTATATCTTTATTTAAGATTATATTAGCTTTAGCTAAAAATATAAAGAAATTAATATATAAGAATACACTTTTGAATATAGAGATTTATATATTTCGAAAAGCAAATAAGATATTAAGTAAATATTAATATACAAAAAAAACCTAATTATATTAAGGAGAAATATTTATTAAATAAAAAGCTGTAGATATATTATCTTAACAAAAGGTTAATATCCAAATTCGATATAATAAATATCAAAATAAAAGAAATTCCAATATAAAGACATTCTTTAGTTAATACTATAATAAGTATAGAAAGATAGATTATAAT